GTCTCGGGGAGGCGGGGCGGGTGGGGGGGGGAAGGCTTAGAGCTTGGCCTCTGTTCTAGAGAACTCCCACCCTGGCCATCCCTTTGAAAGGGCAAGCGGGGGCTATGCGGAGACAAACATCAGGTCTGTTCTTTCTTCTCTTCCTGGGTTTCAGACCTGAATATCTGTGACTCCCTGGAGCTGCCGTTGGAGATCATATCAGAGTGACTGACCTATTTATCAGCGGGAGCTTTGGAGCTGCCAGTCCTTTGGAACCGATGGAGCATCTTCTGCAGGTGAGTCCGTGTCCCCCCCCCCCAATGCTTTATTCATCCTGTCTGACTTCTAAAATGGGGTGATATTTTCAACGCTGCTGCGGTTTGCTCAGCCTTTTGTCTTTTCTGCATGTCTTTTGCCTCCCGCCGCCTCCTTCCAGTAATTGTCCCTTTCGGGGGGCATCCCCAAAAGCTTCCTGTACCGTCACAGTCTTTACACAAAGTTAGACAAAGCAGCCAATTCTCCTCCGTAACAGTTCAACAAATGCCTCCCCGGTGAATTCCACTGCTTCAATGGAATTGTGGGGCATATCAAGCCAGAGAATTCAGGGAGGGGGCGCGACACAACGAAATGTGGCCAAAGTGGGAACTGGCCAAGGGAAGGAGATTGTGTGATATGTGAGCTTTCCACATAATCTCTCACCTGCTCCTCCCCAATGGCCCAGAACAGCTCACTGTATAACGTTGCGATTACAACAGAAGATCAGCTAACCTAGAAACAGCTGTGACTGGCAAATATCACCCCATGTCTGGTTAGACACAGCCAGTGCTCCCTCTACGCTGTGGAGTCTTGAGAGCAAAAAGTCTACTTTGTGAGCTCCTGGCATTAAAGTTGTGAGCGAGCCATTTGGCAACTGCCTAAATTAGTTTGCTCCGGAGCCACCCTTCCTGAGCTAAGGCAAAAATGTGTGAGCCGGAGGTTCAAAAACTGTGAGCTGGCTCACACCTAACTCAGCTTAGAGGGAACACTGGTCACAGCTACCAAATGTCAGTTTTGAACAGGGAAGTAATAAGAAGATATGGAAACAGGAGTCTTGGGCTTTGATGGCCCTCTGGAGCAGGGGTACCCAACCACTGGTGCCACGATACCCATCAACACCTTTACTGGCACCTGCGCAATCTTTGTAGAAAGTGGACAGGGCCAGGTGGGTCTTGTGCCCAGCAGGGCTTCTGATTGGCTGTGTGGATTAAAAGGCATCTTATTAAATCATAGAATGTTAGAGCTGGAAGGGACCTTGCAGGTCATCTAGTCCAGCCCCCTGCACTCTGCAGGAGCATAGCCGAAAGATAGCCCTATAACATACCCGAAAGGTGGTCGTCCAGCCACCGCTTAAAACATCCAGCAAAGTAGCATCCACCACCTCCTGAGGCAGTCTGTTCCACTGCTCAACCACTCTTAACAGTTAGGAAGTTCCTCCTGATATTTAGCCGGTATTGACTCCCTTGTAATTTCCACCCATTAGATCTAGTCTTGCAATCCGGAGCAAGAGAGAATAGATCCGCTCCATGTTCTACATGACAGCCCTTCAAATATGTGAAGACTGCAATCATGTCCCCTCTAAAAGCCTTCTCTTTCCCCGGCTAAACATCCTCAGCTCTTTCAGCCTTTCCTCATAAGACTATGATCCCAACCCTCTCACCATCCTGGTTGCCCTCTTCTGGACACGCTCGAGCTTGTCAGCATCCTTCCCAAAATGTGCTTCTGCCTTAAATGTTGAAGAGCTACTAATATATGATATATTACGTTTCAGATAATGTGTTCATTTTAGTTGAGCCTGTTAAAAGGGATAGCAGGCTTGGCGCTTACTCTAGCAGCAGTGAGTGACATGGGGATAGACAAGCGACTACTGTTCTTGATTTAAAAAATCTAGCAGCAGTGGTTGGTATTCTTCAAGGCTGTGAAGGCACTTGAAAGCCCCCCCCCTCCCCCGGCAGCTGACTCAAATGACAGGAGCCCCCAAACTAGTCCGTGAGCCAAAGCCTTCCTCCCTTATTGGCTACATGTTGCTTTTGTCCCCACGTCTCCTGTTCAGATATAGTCAGTGGCAACTGCAGACATGACCATGCTTGAAACAGCTAGAAGGTCAGTGTACAGAGCGTTAACTGACATTGAGTTGCCTGCTCCTATGATGGTTGGGCTTCCGTCCACATTTTGCCATGTCTCTCACAGAAAGTGTGAAAAATCACAAGGGGTGTAATTGACTAGGAAATTCCCATGCCATGTGCTCTTGGTGGTAACAGGTGGGTTGTCTCGAGGGAGGTTTGTGCATCTGAACCTCCTTGTGGTCTGTGATGACTTATCATAGCTGCATACTGGCCTGAAGGATAGCCAGGACTGCTTTCGTACCTTGCCACGAGCTATAGGCCAGGCCTGCAGTAGGCACGTTAGGTACTGCCAGTCCCTTGAGATGTTGTTGCCCATTCATTTCCACAGGGGCCCTGAAAAGCAATGGCTGCTGCTTCACATCTGAACGTAGCACCCCCCGAACGGCAGACCTCCGCGGGCATTGCAGAGCCTCCCCTCTGGCAGCCATCCTCCGTCACCATGCACGTCACTCGGCCGAAATCCGCAAAGGGGCGCGTGAGGCCAAGCTTGAATTACTCCCATAGCGTGGAGGCCTATTCCTGTCGAGTGCCATCGTCCCCTCAGCCGTTAGACCCCTGCGATGAACCTGGGAGTGGCCGGAGAGCAGCCTCCTCCCAGCAGGTGTGCCAACCCGTTCAGGCACCTCCGGCCGAAATCCCGGATCTCCTCCAGCAGGTGCCCACCCGGACCTCCTCTTCCTTGAATAAATACAGGGTGCTCCCGTCCATTAGCAGAAAGGAGCTGAGGAGAGGCGCAGTGGAAGCGATGTCCGAACAGGCAAGTCAACTCCGAGTGAGCAACCGCCTGAAGGAGGAAGAGCAGGGCTTCAAAGCTCGCCCTCCGGAGAGGATGCCCTTCTCTGCCATGACAAAACACGACATGGGCAGCGGCGAACATGTGAAAATGTCACCACCTCCTTTGGAAACAAAGCCATTGGGTAAAATGAAAGAAGGAAGTACCTCCTCGTCAGCAGTCGCTCTGGAAGAGCCCTCCGAGAAAGAGCCCAGGTTGCTCTTGGCCATCAGGTCTCCTTCGGGTCAGAGGTTTGAACACCACTTCCGGCCGACTGACCACCTCGAGACTGTCCTCGCGGTGGCGGAGCGAAAAAACTCAGCCGCGTACAAGCGCTGTAGTATTGAAACAGTGGAAGTGCCTCGGCGGACCTTCTCGGACCTGACCAAGTCCTTGCAAGAGTGTGCGATCCCCCACAAGTCAGTGCTGTGTATCTTGCAGGAGGAGCCAGAGGGGGAGCTTTAAGCCACCAGGGGCCGCTCTCTGTATTAAAATGCCATTGGAGGCCACGGATCTTCGCCTGATGTCCACTTCTTTGGCCCCCCCACAGGCACCTTTCTGTGGCCTAAAAGCCCGATTTCCCAAGCTGTTCCCTGCATACTCAAGAGGGGACTGTTTCCAAACATCCCATTTCAGTTCCCTTTTTTATGTGTCCGCCTCCCAGCCAGTTTCCCTCGTACACCTCCCTTCTCTGGAATCGTTACAAGTGCCTTTCCCTCAGCAGAAGGCAGTACCTCCTTTCAAGGTCACCTGTTCTGCCCATTTGTTTCGTATTTCTGATTCGCTTTTTTCCCAGTAGGAGGATTAAGTTTCCTTTGGCTGTAGACGTGGGTCATTTTTCTCACTACGAGCCTAGGTTAGTGTCTGTAGGATGGGAAGATGGACACTAGGAGTCTGATCCCAGTGGGATCGTTTCCTGACGAATCCCGCTTAAACAGATTGTCATCCAGTGGCAATGTCTCTGCAGAGCCTTTCGGTTTGCTTTCCAGTGCTCTGTTTTTAAATTCTTTCTCCAGAGAACATCCTGGGTTTGGTTGCAGAGACAGGCACACTTTTTTCTCTGCCTTCAAGAATAAGCGACCTTTGCTTTCTCTGGCTACCCAACTGGGTTTGTTACTGTATTCTTAATCAGCCGTTCCTTACAAGATTACAGCATAAATTGGTCTTGAGGGAATGGGTTATCGGTATAAATTTGCATTTCAGTGTTTGGCAGCTGGTGCAAAAACTCTCTTTTTTGGAACAGGAGTTGATTGCAAACTTGTGTTGATTTGGTATTCTTGTTCTCTAAATTGAGTTGAGGCCTGTGTATTAAGGGCAGCTCTCTCAAAAAGCTGCTTTTTCGTTTTTAAAATCAACCTTTGTATTTAGCAAAATGCCATTTATGTTCTTGTAAAAAAATCTGTATTTGTGTGTGTGAGAGAGAGAGGGAAGAACCTATCCAAAGGCAACCTTTAGGGCTTGGACAGTTTGTATTATACAAAAGCTGCATTAACCTACTGGATTGCTTGCCAAATGGGCCCACTCCTGAGTGTTCGTATCTCATAAACAAATCTCAGCTTTTGCTTCAATGAAACAGCCAAACTAACCTCTTCAGATTAGAAGGGGGCTTTCACTGCTGCTTTAATTAGGGCTGCCCAAACAGGCAACTTCCCTATGAACTGTACAGAATTGGCAGTTTGACTTTTCTTCCTCCCCATCTGGCAGAAACGTTGGCCCTATCCCATCCTAAAGAAGACAGTCCTTTCCTTTGATTACAGCTGTGGAGTTCCTGGCCAAACCCCTCTGCAAGCTGCCTGCTGTTCTCAGCTCTAAAGCAGCGACTGTGTGGTCAGGGAAGCAATGAATTAGAAAGAGCAGCGGCAGGGAATGTCACACCTCTTTCCGCTGCCTGTCAGTTCCCTGCAGAGCGTAGTTTGGGGAGCAGAATATAAAAGAAGCTTGACGGTTCTGGGCTGGAGGTTGCAGGAAGCAAGGCCTAGGTGACAGGCAGCATTATCCTTTCAGGAATTGATACGAGTGCTCGAGGCAAGGCCTGATTCTGGCAACAGCACAGAGGCGCCCCCCCCCCCCACGCACTAGAGGGCAGAACCCTTTCCAATTCAGGCAGCACAAGGAAGGGGTGGGAGGAACTGCTGTTCCGTCAGTTGTTTTTCCCCCAAACGGGAAAGCAGCGGCAGCGGCTCACTTTCTGTGCAAGTCCGCCACACAACTTCGAGTCCTTTTTGGTCAGGAGGAACCGGCCGAGTCGGACAAATTGCACCACGTGTTCTGTACTGCCGAGTCTTCTGCTCTGTGGTTTACTGCAAGGTGGCTTATTTGGAAGGGGGAGCTGTTCCAAACTGTCAGAAACGGGACGAAAGGGAAGGAAGCTGTAGCCAAGACGATGCCGGTGCCAGTTCAGATATACAGCTTTTCAAAGGCTTGCACTGGTACAGTCTGCGAGGTGGAGATGTATCGTGAAGGCCCCTCCTACGTGGAATATGACCCACACAGGAAAGCGTGTCAGTACTAAGGGTGGGCTGAGCCCCTCACACTGCTAGTTGTGGCTGTTCAGTGAGGTTTTCAAGATGTGTATAAGGTGTCCCATGATTGGATTCTTATTCATTGACACTGGAGACACAGTACAAAATTTTCCTCATTGAATTTGGAGGGGGCACGGGGAAAATGTCCTCCATAATTTGGGACCAAGCAGTTGCCTTTAAGCACTGCTTTCTCGTTTTGGAGCCACTCGAATGGGCTGTATCTGTGTCTCCAGGTAGAGATGAGCAAACTGTTCTTAAGAGCACAGTAAGCATGTTGGGAGGGAATGCAGGCATGATGCACTTCATGTCCCTTTTCTGGAAAAGTCGAGGGGAAAATCAAGCTTGAAACAGTCAATTAATGTACAGAAAAGTGTTATGATTTTTGCACTTAATTCACAATGAAACCTGTTACGTGTAGTGTTAGGCTCAATAAAGATATTCTGGGTGTGACCACTTGTTTTACATTCATGCAAGCCATTGGTTTTTATACCTGCTAGCTTACTGGATAGGCCAGGCTAGCCCGATCTCAGAAGCTAAGCAGGGTCAGCCCAGGTCAGTATTCCAATGGGAGACCACCAAGGAATACCAGTGTCGCTATGCGAAGGCAGGTAATGGCAAACCACCTCTGGATGTCTCTTGCCTTGAAAACCCCATGAGGTCTCTTAAGTCAGCTGTGACTTGACAGCAAAAAAAAAAAAACTGGTTGGAAAAACTTAACAGAAAGCAGTAAGTTTAAGGTTTTGAGCTGTACATATGTGCTGTGAAAACTCACTGTGTGGCCACCATCCCACAGCCAGAGTGACTTCTCTGGTTAAGAGCTGCTCCAAAGATACGAGAAACACCATCTGGATATGTAGCAACATAAGGAAACCCCCAGGAGGTATCTTCTTGTAAATTAAATAATTTAGTGTGGCCTGACTTGAGACCTTTGGTCCGATGAAGAGGAGGAGTTGGATTTATACCCCACCCTTCACTCAGAGCAGCTTACAATCTCCTTCCCTTCCTCTCCCCACAACAGACACCCTGTGAGGTAGGTGGGGCTCAGGGAGCTCTTATGAGAACTGCTCTTGAGAGAACAGCTGAGACAACTTGTGACTGACCCAAGGTCACCCAGCAGCTGCATGTGGAGGAATGGAGAAGCAGACCCGGTCCTCCAGATTAGAGTCCACCGCTCTTCACCACTACACCAAACTGGCTCAACCATTAAAGGAAAGCTTGTGGATGCCACAAGCAACTAGGAAGAAGAATGGCTCTGTGAAACCTGCTTACCTCTCTTGCTTGGAAACACACCATGGCATGAAAGGGGAAGACCCCCACCCAATGTTCCCTGTAAGCTATGGAGTCTTGTGAGCAAAAATTCTACTTTGTGAGCTACTGGCATTAAAGTTGTGAGCAGGTGATTTGGCTACTGCATAAATTGGTTTGCTCTGGAGCCCTCCTTCCTGAGCTAAGACAAAAATGTGTGAGCCGGAGGCTCAAAAACCGTGAGCTAGCTCACACTAACTCAGCTTAGAGGGAACATTGCCCCCACCCCCAAAAGCGATCCCTCTCTGTCACAGAAATGATGCCGATGTGAAAAAGGCAACCCAGACTCATTGCAGTTATTTCTGTATTCCTTTACTCCAACTGAAAAGTTACATTAGAAAGAGTACACTGGCCCAGCAGCGTCTGTGCGACCCTTTTCAAAGCCGGCACGCTGGTCTCACATTGTCGCTCAGCAGTACTAAGGAGGGGGGGTTGAAGGACCTCTGCCGCTCGCCACACAAGCACACACGCACCTGCTACTTGAGAGGCTTCCAGCAGAATAAAAATAGATACACCTCAGAATACAAAATCTGTGGGGTTTCCCCCCCAAACTTCCTTCACCCCCCCCCACCTCCCTGGAAAGCCATTTGCACAAATTGATAAAAGGTTGCCTCTTAAGTTTCCTAAAATTTTAGGTACATTTTTTTAAAAAATAAGCTTTCTGCATGTGTTTCTGGGATCGGTTCTGTTTTACTTGGTAAAAGAATCCACAATTCTGTCTTGGAACAGAACAATTAGCAGCCAAAATTGTAAAAGATTGGGGGAGGGGGATTCTTTGGAGCAAGGGGTCTGTTAGCTGCCCCCGAACTTGCTCCAGTTCTCGGTCTTCAGTGAGAAAAACACTCATGGGGGAAAAAAAAACCCCGAAGGGTGATCCAACCCTTTGTGCATCAAAGATTGCTACAAGGGAAATGGAAGACCCAAAGTGATGAAGGAAATCTGTGCTGGGGTTACGAAAGCACAGGCAAGATAGAAGCAGGTGGATTTCCAGCCAGCAGGTAGCAGAACTGATAGACTCAAGCAGAGGGACCAAGCCGTGCTTTGTACAGGCAATTGCAGTGTGACCCACCCAAGAGATCTTGGTCAGAACCACCACCACCACCACCACCGATCTCTCGCACGTAAAAACACCTCCTCCCCCCATTTGACTAGTTCCAAGTCTAGCAGTCCCATAAGAAATACCAGGTGTGTTCAACCAAGCAGTATTTCTTGAGGGATGACTATGCAGTGCTGTGTGCAAGGGCCGCCAACATGGAGCTACCCAACAGCCGTGCTCGGTGGACAGCCCTCCAATGTTCAGAGCTGCTCTGATGAAAGCAGCGTTGCAAAAATACTGACACCCGCTTAAACAGAAATCAAATCAAAGGGAGACCCTTGGGGGGGGGGGGGAGAACATGCTCAGAACCCAAACTTTTGGAAAGAACTAGGTTAGTAACGAGCCAGTTCATCATCTACACCAATTGCTTCCTGTTCCCGTGTTGACCCCCCCTCTTCCCTTCACCCTTGCGCTGTGATTCGCCTGGTCTCTATGCCGCGTTTCAGCAAGTGAGGAGAGCTGGTGCATTTGATTCAATATCTTTGGACGGGGGAGAGAAATTCGGGTTGGGCTATAAGAGCAGTGGGCCTAGGAGGGAGACTGTTACAGCACTGAGCTGTAGCATCCTCCCGCCTCAAAGCTGGAAGCTGCATGAATCAGATTTGTCAAGAGAGGCTGAATCATCCACACTCTTCTTCAGATATACGCCCCTCGCCGCAAAGTGTTGACTTCCCAGCAATACTGGATGGTTTCTTGACCGACAAGAGCCTGGACAAGATTGGCTGCAGCATCCTACCACACACACCCCTTCCTGGTTGATCCAGCACTTCTTTGCAGATTGCCTATTTGGTACAGCAAACTTTAAAATAAATCTTTAATCGAAATGTCCATTGCACTACAATATTACACTTTCCATCACTACACCAATTTAAATCTGTTTCTATAGGTACCCTCTGGTAACTGTGAACTTTTGCAACTCGCATGTCAACTGCTATGGCTTCCCCTCAAGGAACTCTGGGAACGAGTTCTGCAAGGTAACCGTAGGGACTCTGCACATTTATAACCTGTCCTTTCAGGGAAAGTTAAGGTTTTGAACCAGTCAGTTGTGCTTACCAGCAAAAAGCAATCCTTCCAGATCATTTACCCGAGGAAAAGCAGGACAGCCTACCAGCCATCTAGGAACGAGAGCTCAAAATGAAAGCACCATTTCCTTACGACTTCAATATTTAGCCAGACTCCGCTAATTTTTTTTTTTTTTAAAGCTCACCTCCTTACTCCTGGGTTTTTGAACCTTTAAATATAACTGCTTGGGTGTGTTTTTAAAAAGTTACTCCCCACTGACAGAGATAATGTAGGGTTGTAGTCTCCTATGCATTAACGGGCTATGTTTTTGGCATCAATACGTCTTTAGAATTTAAGTCTCCCATTTTAAGGCTAAACTAAAAAAAAAAAGTCTCTGTAAACATTTCTTCTTTCCCCAGAGTTGCACTTCGTTTTTAAAATCAAGTCCAGCCACAATTGGTTTTTTTTAAAAATGAGGTAATTTCTGTATATTTGTTTATCTTTAAAAACGTCCCTTTGCGCGTGACTGGCTAAGGTTTGTGCCAATCAGAATGCTGATCCAATTGTAGTGGGAGAGCTACCATGGGAGGGCGTGTGCCAGTTCCGGCAGCTGCACTTCAGTTAGCGATCTTCTCGATTTCATCCAAGTCGTCTGTGTCCAATTTGTGGATCTTCTTGTCTGGAAAGGAGAAATGCCAAGGGATTAAGGTTAAGAATCTACACCCCGGGTCAACAGAAGCCCACCCCTGTGGTTTCTGCATGAATCAATCCTGTGGGCACGTCACCTGTAGGGAGGCCCAGAGCAGTTCTGGGCGTTCCACCCGGAGAGAAAGAGAAAAGCCCAGAGGAGTAACTTATCCAGAGATCCAGCAAGCAGCTTCCTCTCGGAATTATGCCATTTCTGTGCGCTGGGAACAAATGTGTGACCTGATCCTACGAAACAAAGAGGATGCAGTCCTGCCCACATCTACAGATTGTCAGCATGAACCGCCGCTCCAAACAGTTAGTCTTTGTGAGGCTGCCTTGAAGGGTGGATGGCTCTGGTCTCCCAGTTCATTTTTGAAGCGTGTATTTATTTCTGGGAACACAGGAAGAGTCACTTCACAGCACAGAGCTTGGGACCAACTGCTGTAATGCAGCTTTTTCAGCTTAAGAGGATTTGCTTTGGGCCACCCTGCTTCGGGACCAGTGCCGTCTTCCTTGGCCCATGCCCCTCAGCCCCCATCAGCAGCTTGAGCAGAGTAAACCCTACCTGGCGGTTACTCCCTTCTAGCAGAAAATGACCGTTCTCCCTTTCCTTTTTTACTTGTGACTGCGCTACAAAAATTAAAATTCTGGACCCAGCAAAAGCATAGTGCTGGTCCCTTGCATCAACCAGGCAAGATCACTGTGTTGGGTTTATTCAACTATTGTTACAGGCTGTTTTGGAGTTTGCTACCTGCTGAAGGAGACCAGGACCAGTGTTCCCTCTAAGCTGAGTTAATGTGAGCTAGCTCACTGTTTTTTAGCCTCCGGCTCACACATTTTTGTCTTAGCTCAGGAAGGATGGCTCCAGTGCAAACTAATTTATGCAATAGCTCAATTACCTGCTCACAACTTTAATGCCAGTAGCTCACAAAATAGAATTTTTGCTCACAAGATTCTACAGCTTAGAGGGAACATTGAGTCCAGGACCCCCAAAGGCAACAGCAACTGGGAACTTCTGCTTTTAAATGGGAGCCCAAGAGCCCTGCTGGGTCAGACCAGTGGCACCTCTGGTCCAGCCACGTTTCACACAGTGGCTGACAAAGCACAGAGGCCTTCCGCCTGATGCTGCCTCCCGGCACTGAGCTCCAGAGGTTTATTGCTTCTTAATCTACCATGCCTAGTATCCACTGATGAAGCATGAACCTGTCTAACCCCATTTTAAATCCATCTTTACTCATGCCTGACCTGATCGCATCAGATCTCTGAAGGTAAGCAGGGTCAGCCCTGGTTAGTCCTTGGTTGGGAGACCACCAAGGAAGTCCAGGGTTGCTCTGCAGAGGCAGGCAGTGGCAGACCTCCTCTGAATGTCTCTTGCTTTGAAAACCCTACAAGGTCACCATACGTCTGCTATGACTTGATGCCACTCTCCACCACCACACCTGTGGCCATGGCTACATCTACTGGCAGTGAATCCCACAATTTAAATTACTCATTGAGTTAAAAAAGGAGGAGGAGTTGTCCTTCCTGAATCCACTGTTCACCGTCTTCATTGGGTGTCCTTAGTTCTAGTATTATGGGGAGAGGAAAAGCTCTATTTACGTCAGGTCTTGAACAAGACTCGCTCCTGACAGCACTCTCTTGGCAGTAATTTGTTTACTGAGAGTTAAAGAGGTTTCAAGCATAGACAATCTGTGTCAGAACTAACTTCCTTGGCACCAGTTCTGGTATTATACATAATTCAAATGACCTCCCCACCTTGTGTCCAGTCCAATCACACCAATAACATCCAGCCCGCCCAAATCTACTGTGTGCCGTTAGCCCTCCCCCAGCATATGCAAGCATAGGGATCGTATTATCTAGCAGTGTCTGGTACCCAAGATCAAGCATGCATTCGTCCCATTGAAGGGAGGCCCCACATAAGCGCAGCTACAAGCCAGCACGACTCTTAGCAAAGCAGTTTCCACACCCACACCCACACCCTCCCCCCTCCCAACCAGAATACAACGGGATAATATGTATACAGAATCAAAGACAGTTAAGAAACCCATGGCAAACGAGACCCGAGTTTGACATTTACCTTCTCCGCCCCCATACATAGTTTTATAGACCTCTATCATGCCCCCCCCCCGCCATCTTTTTTCCAAACTAAAAATGCTCCCAGGCCTTTCCTCAGAAGGAAGGTGCTCTCCACCTCCTTAAAGCCCTCTTGGCTGAGAGACAGAAAAAAGCCAGAAGGGACATACTGAAATGCTCCTGGATCCTGTTGAGGATGTTCATGCTGTGCTTGCTGTCCACCATGTTGATGGCCAGCCCTCGCTTGCCAAAGCGCCCCGTGCGCCCGATGCGGTGAAGGTACGTCTCGTTGTCTGGGTTCCCGTCTTTGTCCACGGGGAGATCGAAGTTGATGACGACAGAGACCTGCTCCACATCGATCCCTAACAGAGGAGAAGCAAGTGCTGGTTGAGATGAGACGAAGAGAGACTCAAGAGCTGCAGGTGCTTGTAGGTTTGCTGACTGAGCAGCTTCAGCAGTGTATGTGGTCCCAGCAAGTTCGATGAAAGCACCAGAAGCTGCTGTTGGGACAGCCAGTTTTTACCCGTGCTGGGAAGGTCTGGCAACAGGACTCCCGTTCAGAAACTCTTTGCTCTGCTGGGCAAAGCTGGGTGAAAGTGACTCAACATCCCTCTGATGAAGCAAAGCTCTGGCCCATGGAAGATCTGCCACAATACATTAGGCACCGCAAAACTCCTTGGGTTTTTGTTTCGATATATGCTTTTAGGAAAAGGGGAACCTCCAAGCCAATCACCATAAAAGACCTGACCTTTGTTTTAGAAGCAGAAGGCCGAATAAGCTTTTGTACTGGTGGAATTAGGGAAGAAGAGAGGACCTCCTGAGGATTGTGAGAAGTGTGTGGGCAAAGGCCGCATGGGGCAGAGGCAACAGTCAGGAGCTGATAGGATCTGACGCACAGGTTCTAGTCCGGCTGCCAGTCTCCAGGTGGCGGCTGGAGATCTCCCGGGATTACAACTGTTCTCCAGGCGACAGAGATCAATTAACCAGGAGAAAATGGCCGCTTCGGGAGCGGACTCTAGTGCGTTACTTATATAGAGAGCCAGTTTGGTGTAGTGGTTAAGTGCGCGGACTCTAATCTGGGAGAACCGGGTTTGATTCCCCACTCCTCCACTTGCACCTGGCTGGATGACCTTGGGCAAGCCGTAGCTCTGTTAAGAGTTGTTCTCGAAAAAAGAGCAGTTTCTGTCAAGAGCTCTCTCAGCCCCACCTACCTCACAGGGTGTGGTGTGTCTGTTGTGGGGAGGGGAAGGGAAAGGAGTTTGTAAGCCGCTCTGAGACTCCTTTGTGTAGTGAAGGGCAGGGTATGAATTCCAATCTCTTCTTATTATTATTATTTGCAACTGAAGTCCCTCCCTTCCCTAAGCCCCGCCCTCCTCAGGCTCTACCCCCCCCCCCAAATCCTCCCACCCCGGAGCTGCCAACCCTAGTTTCTAGAGATTCTCAACACACAGTCAGTAGCAGTGCGCACAGACAGACGGACAGCAGGTCTTTGCCGGAAGGTTCTCCAGCGCCGGGTGCCAGTTACCTCGGGCACAGACATTTGTGGTCACCAGGACTTTCTCTTTGCCTTCTCGGAAACGCTCAATGACCGCTGCTCGCTGCTCCACCATCATCTCGCCGCTCAAGAGGGCCACTTGATGGCCTTCCCTGGAAAGCTCGCCCGCTAGCCAGCCCGCCGTTTTGCGAGTCTGCGGAGGACACGGCCGACAAAGAGGTTAGGAGATGCCTCTGACAATGACCCCAATGGGAAACAATACCAATGGATTAAGTCTGCCCCCCCCCAATCAACGCAGAGGTAGCTCCTGCAGTGCTAACCAGTTTCCCCAATGTGCGTGGGGGGTGTCATTTAGATTCCCGGTCACTGAGAATGTCTACTGCTTCATTTCTCCCCTCCCCTTTTCACTTTAATAGGGGATGTCTAATTGATTCTCAGTGCCAGGAAGGAAGGAAGGAAGGAAGGAAGGAAGGAAGGAAGGAAGGAAGGAAGGAAGGAAGGAAGGAAAAGAGACACAGAGAGAGAGAGAGACAGACAGACAGAGAGAGAAAGTCATGTGAAATACCTCAGAACAATTGGATCCCTCACTTTGTTTTTAAAGAGGTGGACTATGAAATGGCACACAGTGTGTTGTGGGGAGGAGATAGTTTACTTTCTTCAACAAAATTTCCTTTGTGGTAAATTTGTTTCTGTTTCAACAAGAGACTGGGGAAGAGGGTCCTCCACAGATGCCATTCTGAGATTAGCGTCTGCTCAGAATAAACCTCTCCTCAGAGAACTGTTCCGGTTCAGGGTGAAGAACAGCCCCGCAGAGAACTCCCCATCACCTTTGTATCCACCTCCCCCTGCCCGAAGCCAGCTAGAGTGACCCCTACTGCAAGGCAGTGCCTCAAGAGACATTCTTCACAAGAACTCCTCCTCTCAAGAGGGAAGCATCCCCACACCTGGCCGTTCTGGAAGGCTCACATAGCTTTGGCCCTGCCCACAAGCTTTCAGCAGCCTCACTTGGTTGTGTCAAAATCAGCTTATTGTCCCGTCCCGTCCCGTCCCCCGGGTCATCCTTGATCAGACTCACGTGACAGAAGATCATCGCTTGCGCGATTGTGATGGCGCCATAAATGTTACAGAGGGCTTGGAATTTCTCCTCGCGGCTGTTGCACAGGACGTAATACTGCTTGATGGTGTCCAACGTCTCCTCCTCGCGCTTCAGCTTGATGATGTTCGGGTCAGGAACGACCTTCTCTGCAAACTTCCACACAGAGTCCTCAAAGGTGGCCGAGAAGAGAAGCATCTGGCAGTCTCTGGGCAGCATCCTGGGAGATTGGGTAGAAAAAGCCAAGGTTCTAGGGCCCAGCTAGATGCCCATCACGACGCCGGACCTCGCGCTCGGGGTCTGAGGTACCTGCTTGGACAAAACACCCAAGGAATTCTCAAGGGTGGCGGCACAAATCTGGGCAAGGCCAGCGACGCTTCCCAGAGTGCCGTTTCACACACCCCTACCCAAGAGCGGAGCTGTCTATGACTGTCTTTCAAAGAAGACTTCACAGGTCACTCCCTCCTTCCCCTTCCCTTGCAGGACAAGTGTATTAACATTTCTTCAACGTTATCAGGATTGTGATCCTGAAGCCTAAGAGAGAGTTGGAGAATTAAAGCGAGGAGCAGCCCCCTGGTCTCCTTGGGCGAAAACTACAGTTGTATGCGGCCAGCTCAAATGGCTCTAATAAAATGTGCATTTCCCCAAACTCTCCAGATGGGTGGGTTTTTGTAAAATTTATTGAAAACATTTATTGGCCGCCTTTCTACCTTTCAGGAACTCAAGGTGGCTTACAATGTAAGCAACAATATCGTCAATGGTTTCCTCTTAAGTCCCTTATTGTGGTAACACCTGGGATCCAGGAAAACCTTCTAATAAACTGAAGTACAGACAGCAAATGCCATCTTAGGAGAGGCATCTCCCCATCCACTTTCACAGGTGGGAAAACCTCTAGAATGGAGACGGCTTCAATATATACAAGCAACCTCACACCAACTGCTTGGTGCAGATGTCAGTTAATTAAAACTCACATTATTAGGATAGCTCAAGTTCTTATCAAAAATAAGTTTAACTTGTATTACAGTCTGTGGCTAATGGAAAGAATACGGCAACAGCTGCACCAGGAAAACGAGCCTCAAACACAAACAGTGGTGCACCCCAGACAACCTGATGGGTGTTTCTCTGTACCTCTGAATACGGATGCTCTGATCTTGGTGTCCTTGGGTGGCTATCATGACGTCTGCCTCGTCCAAGACGAAGACTTTGATCTTCTTAGGATCGATGAATTTCAGCTTGGAGCACCAGTCCAGGACGGTGCCCGGGGTGCCGATGACAATCTGCTCGGAAATCTTCTGACCACGCTCCACTGTTCAGAGAAGAGATCAAGACCTGATTGGAGCAGGAGAACCTCAGAAGGTTTTGCCTTCCTCCAGAGAAAACAGGCACAATTCACTTGTGTGTCTTCTCCTGAGGAAAGGGACTGTGCAGCCTCACTTGCAGTGTGGCATGGCCAAAACCTTACAGATTTAAGTGACTCCTCAGTCAGGTGACCACAAAACCCAAATTCTGTGAGTGGACTGTTGTGTTGCTCATAGTAACATTCACTTGCATGCAACGAGACCGCTGTGCAGGGAGGAATTTCCCCCTTTGCCCCGCACAAGCCCCCCCCCATTTCTTTCCTGGAGGTCTCCATCAGGAATAGCAAAGGGGGACTGAAGGTTCTCAGTGGGAAGGGGTAGGAAAAGATGGAAATCGCTGCCCATTCTCCCAAAGACAGGGGCACCGTTCTAAACCCAGACGGTGGATGCAAGCCACTGACGCAAGTACAGTAATGAGCTGGCCTGGCCCAGATCTTGCTAACTTGAGAAAGCTGTTAGTTATGTTCAGGGTCCTCTGGACGTGACCCCCTGCCAAAAAGCAAAACGGGGGCCCTGGCCCTGTGAGCAGTTAGGTTCCCTCTGGGGCCTGTGCAGCACTCAGTCTCTTCTGGGCAAACAACACAGACTTCTGCTCTGTGCCTGCAGCCCCGTAAAACTGCTCTCCCCCATTTAAGCAGGAGAGGGCACGGCAGCTCTTGTGCTCTCAGTTCCTACTTTACACTCCTTTTCTTTACACTCTTTTCTAACACAGCTCCAGTGCAAAAAAAACCCCACAAAAGTTTTGTAAATGTGAGAGAAAACCTGCTGGCTACAGTTTGATCTGAATGGGATAAGAAATATCTGGGTTGTTTTGCCTGACTAGGGAAATCTCGACCCTGACTGTGTTGCTGCCCAGCAGGTATGATGTGTTGGGAGCGATGCTCCCTCTAAGCTGTGGAGTCTCGTGAGCAAAAATTCCACTTTGTGAGCTACTGCCGTTAAAGTTGTGAGCGAGCGATTTGCCTGCTGCATAAATTAGTTTGCTCTGGAGCCATCCCTCCTGAGCTAAGACAAAAATGTGTGAGCCAGAGGCTAAAAAACTGGGAGCTAGCTCACACTAACTCGGCTTAGAGGGAACACTGGTTGGGAGTCTCTTGCAGTTGCCGCCATCCTCCAAGGTCAGAAGCCTTTTATGGTCTGTTCTCAAGCGCGAAAGGTTTCCAGCACAGTCCGCCTGCGCAAGGGAATTTGCTCCCTAGAGCTATCAACACACAGCACAGCCTCCTGCCACCCCAAAAATCACCGAAGAAACACAGTCCACACACTTACATTTATTGCCCCGAACTGCATAGGAGAGGTTCAGCTCTGGATAAAACTTGCCCATCTGTTCAATCACCTTTCCAGTCTGGAGCGCCAGCTCATACGTTGGGGAAAGGCACAGACACTGTAAGGAGAAAAAGGCTACTCTGGGATGCCATTTTGTGAGAGGGTTAATGCTGCAATGTACCCTAACGGTATCCCTGAATACATGGCTTTACTTATTATCCTATTATAAAGCACAACGCTTGGGGACATGGGAGAACTTCTGACCCAGCCCTGATACAGAAGAAGAGGAAGAGGAGGAGGAGGAGGAGATTGGATTTATACCCCACCCTTCACTACCCAAAGGAGTCTCAGAGCGGCTTACAAACTCCTTTCCCTTCCCTTCCCCACAACAGGTACCCTAATGTTCCCTCTAAGCTGTGGGGTCTTGTGAGCAAAAATTCTACTTTGTGAGCTACTGGCATTAAAGTTGTGAGCGAGCAATATGGCTACTGCATAAATTAGCTTGCTCTGGAGCCATCCTTCCTGAGCTAATACAAAAAATGTGTGAGCCGGAGGCTGAAAATCTGTGAGCTAGCTCCCACTAACTCAGCTTAGATGGAACACTGCTGTGAGGTAGGTGGGCCTGAGAGAGCTCTGACAGAAACTGCTCTTTTTCAAGAACAGCTCTTATCAGAACTACGGCTTGCCCAAGGTCATCCAGTAGGTGCAAGTGGAGGAGTGGGGAATCAAACCCGGTTCTCCCAGATTAGAGTCTGCACACTTAACCACTACACCAAACTGGCACCCGAACTGAGCAACTCAGTCACCACTGAAAGGAACCCAAGCAGCAGAACACTGTCCTCCTTAAACCCACAGAAGGGGTGGTCCTTCAAAATGGCTTATTCAGGTGTTATGGAAGAAAAGCCCGTTCTCTGCACTTTCGATACAACAGCCTCAGATGCGACTCAAGAACAACCTGGGGTGCTTCCCCTAGATGGTGCTCTATCACAGCTAGAAAGCAGCCTCGTTACACTCCCTTCCCATTCTATCCCAGCGGTAAAATGCAGGTTGCGACGGAAGCCTTGGTTCTCATCGCACCACCCGCCGGTGATCAGAGAACCTCCCCACCACCTCCACCTGCATCCACACGAACTTCGATTCAAACGAGGCGCCAAGCACCATCTACTGTTCCCCCACTTGGCAGCGGACTGTATTAATGAGAAGCAGAACCCAGCATGGAACTACAGGGGTGCGGAGGAGAAACAGCAGCAGGCCGGCTCGGTTCTCGACGGTTCCCACCGAGGAACGGGAGACTGATTCTAGTGGGCTCGTCTTTATCACACCAGGATCCAGCTCAGAAGAAAGATGCCAAGCAGATTCCCGCACCAGCCTAGTATGGTCCATTTTATCCTAACGATGCTGTGGGGTAGGTTAGGCTAGAATGGTGTGGCTCGCCCAAGACCACCCAGCAACCATCACAGCAGAGTGAGGATCTGAACCGGAGTCTCTGAGACCCTTGTTTGATGCCCTAATTACTACACCAGGCTGGCTGATACGATAAAGGGGGGAGGAAGCAAAGTGGGAAAAGACAAGATGTCTTCATTTTTCTCTTCCTGCCATTCATAAAGTCGGATATCGCTAACACCATGGTAATCGTTGGGACGAAAAGCCATCTTGTTGCATTTTCCATTTCACAACACACCAGAAGCAAAACAGCATTTTGAAAAAGAAAAACAACCCAACTAAACATCAAGATGGGTAGCCGTGTTAGTCTGTCTGTAGCAGCAGAAAAGAGCAAGAGTCCAGTCGAGAAAGAAGTACTTTTCTCCCTTTCTCACAATACAAGAACTCGTGGGCACTCCATGAAATTGCTGAGCAATCATGTTAGAACAGATAAAAGGAAGTACTTCTTCACCCAAAGAGTGATTAACACATGGAATTCACTGCCACAGGAGGTGGCGGCGGCTACAAGCATGGACGGCTTCAAGAGGGAATTAGATAAGCATGTGGAGCAGCGGTCCATCAGTGGCTATGAGCCACAAGGTATAGATAGGAAATCTCAGTCTGGGGCAAGTGATGCACTGTATTCTTAGTGCTTGGAGGGTGGGGCAACAGTGGGAGGGCTTCTAGTGTCCTGGCCACACTGATAGACCTCCTGATGGCACCTGGTATTTTTGGCCACTGTGTGACAGAGTGTTGGACTAGATGGGTCATTGGCCTGATCCAACATTGGCTTCTCTTTTAAAAAAAAAAAAAAAAGCACCTTAAAGACTAACAAAAATTGTGGCATCCTCCTGGACTGAATCGAGACCTAGGTTTTCGGTCTCACTACCAATGCCTACTGCCCCTCTGGACATCACACCTAATCCGACCCTGCCTGCTACTGTCATTTACCTGCCACTGACATATGGCATTTGAAACCACTCCATTCTCCAAGACATAAAGATAGATGGACTCACATTCCAGCTGTATCTGAAGAAGTGAGCAGTGTCTCACGAAAGCTCATACCCTGACAGAAATTTTGTTAGCCTTTAAGATGCTATTTGACTCTTGCAATTAAACATGCCTTTTATTCACAAAGATTATGCTGTAGTGCCACCTTGGGATCATCTCGGTATCTAGTGCCATCTATGGGACGCACTTCAAACTATACTTGCATCACAATTGAGGCTGATGCATACAATTGGTTCCCAGAGCCTTAAAATTCTTGCTGATCAGCTGAAGATTTAGTTGGCTGATCTGCTCAGTAAAGCTTGCAACCCTTCAAAGGGTAATCAATTACCTGTGGGTATCTGTTCTCAGGTTCTACTCGGCTAAGCATGGCCAAGACAAACGCTGCTGTCTTGCCGGTACCGGACTGAGACTGTGCAATCAGGTTCTGAGGGCTAGACACACACCAAAGAAGAGAAATGTCAATACAGGCAGAAAATCAAAACATGGCATATTAGTAAAAGGCTGGCCTGCAGCAGACCTTGAGCTTGTAACAAGGACTGTGAACAGTCCTTCTACGACCACACAATATAGTAAGCAGCCAAACCCTTGCTCTCCCCACCCTCCAAACACAACCCCACACGGTAAGGCAGGCTAATAGAATGTGCAAATACATACGGCTCTGCTAGCATCATAGGCAACGCATTCTCCTGGATTTTGGATGGTCTGTTGAAGCCCATAGCGTAGACACCTTGCAGCAGCTGCGGCTTCCTAGAAGACAAAAGCATTTCTGTGTGTTGCTAAAGGCCTCGGTCTCTCTATTCCTCAGAAACAGACAGAAATCCTATAGTGAGGTTGCTCTCACAATAATAATACTCCCTGTTCTGAGTAATGGTCCTTTGGCACAGCTAGAAGTCAACGTTTTACCTCCAACAGATGTGAAATCAATTTTCCAGGTGGTGCTAAGATACAAATCGGGACTAGTCCCCAGTAAAGCCTCCCCAGTCCTGAAAGTACATCTCCTCTCCAAAGCCCAATTAAATATAATAAACTTATTTGAGAGACAGATGCAGACATCAGCTATGAGCGGATCCTAAAGGGACCCCCTGTCTTTTGTGGAATAAATATCTTAAAAGACTGTTCTCCCACAGGGCCAAACGGTGCATGTTCTATTTGGCATGTCTTGCTAGGAGGACAGGGGTGTTTTTAAAAAAGATGGTCAAGAATACTGAACCCTCCCATGACTATCCCTGCCTGAAGTCTTTCTCCCATGTTCAGGGCCTGGAAACTAAAAATGTGCCCTGGGGTGGGGGAAGGCTGTGGGGAGTTAAGCAAGATGCCAGGGGTGAACACAAGAGCCCTGCTGGATCAGACCAGTGGTCCATCTAGTCCAGCATCCTGTCCCACACATTGGCCAGCCAGTTCCCCTGGAGGGCCAAAAGCAGGGCATAGAGGCTGAGACCTTCCCCTGATGTTGCCTCCTGGCACTGCGATTCAGAGGTTGACTGCCTCTGAACATGGAGGTTCCCCTCAGTCACCATGGCTAGTAGCCACTGGTAGACTTATCCTCCATGAATCTCTCTAACACTCTTTTAAAGCTGTTTATTCCTGTGGCCATCACTACATCCTCTGGCAGCAAATTCCACATTTTAATCACTCTCTGTGTAACAAAGGGGGGGGGACAACAACAATTAACCATTCATCCCCATTGCACTGAAAATCTTAGCTCCCAATCTCCCCACTTTATGCACAACTGGGGCGGGCCCACCATCATAAGACAGACTTTCTACCTTTGCATCTAGTCTGGTCTACAGAAAAGCCCTCTGAAAAGGTAAACCGGTGCCATTCAGAAGTAAGAGACGGTTGCCAGGGTGACGCTGTAAGCGGAACAGGAGACCCACTTAATCCGAGCACGGCTATCATTAGCTCTGCCTTTGATTCTCCACTAATACTTAGCTTTCAAAAACCTACCAGGACAAGAGTACATGATCTAAAGAGTCTTTTGTAGCAACAAAGCAGCAAAGATGAAAACGGAGCCGTTCGACGCTGCAACAAAAGCTGCGCCACTGCGGGCTCCC